AGAAGCAAGCGAGGAGGAGCGAACCCACAACAGTGTGTGGATGGAAATATATATATACGAAGATACATATAATTATCTTTGTGGAGCTACGCAGAGCAGGGAGTCATGGTCACTGTAGGTTGCCGAAGAGTCGGCAAATGCAGCTCTCGGACCAGCTGATTGGCCGAACACATTCCCCGGTCCCCTGAGGAGAAACCCTAACGACTCTGGGGATCCCTTGCCTTTTTTTCTTGGGAATGTTTCTAACTGAGTGAAATGACACAAGTATCTAAGTGGCCTCCACGTTAAGAGCTGGTTGAATTCCCTAGATGCTAAGGAAAGGTGCTTCAATGATTCCTTTCTCGTCTCCTTTAGCGTAGGCAACACACCGGACCATCCTTTTCCAAAACGAAAGGAGATAATGACACAATTCCTGGCAACAGCACCCACGTCATAGCTCAGTGTGTCAGAGTGCAGTCGGACTGTTTGAACACCGTGGCCGTCTTTTTCCTAAAACCTAAGTGAAGATTCTCCCTCACATCCTTCCTTGACCTCATGACATTTACTTCGGGTTAAAAAAATAAGGAGTCAGTTTTAGGGCAGGACAGATGACGTGTATCGCTACTCTCTTTGACTGTGGCTGCTGCACTTTGAACCAGGTCTAATTAACTTGCATGTTCCACTTGTCACTTGTAAGAGGTCTCTTCTCTTGCTAGGTCTGTTTTGGACCGTTGGAAACCTCTATTTCTGATGACAGCAGCTACACATCTTGACTTAACTGTATAACAGAAAGCCTGTGTTGAAATATGTGATCATTTACCAGACGGGGGGGATCCATTGCATTTTTTGGGAGCCAGTGTTTTTGGAGCTTCACCCATAAAGGTCAGGATAGCTGGGCCTCTGCTGCTTTTTTTTACCAATCTTTCTCCCGCTGGTCATCCAACTTTATGCAAGGGAAACACTTAATTGCTAGAATACTCCTTTAACACAATCGAACTATCTATTCAATCTTGGTATCCGTAATAATAGAATTGTATTGTGCAGATAAGTGTGTAATGAAGTGCGATTGGCGAGAGACGACGAGACAAGCAGGTAAAGAGAGATGGATAGAGAGAGAGAGGGAGAGAGAGAGAGAGAGAGAGAGAGAGAGAGACGGACGGGTATTTTGCCTCTCCTCCAGCCTCGTCTGGTTGCCGGGGTGACCGGTCTGGCCCGGTCTGGCATCGATGCTCGAGTGCGAGAAGAAAAAAAAAAAGAAAAGAAAAGAAAGGAAAAGCGCCACAATCAATGAGACCTTTTTTGTTTTAGTGGGAACCCCCTTTTACCCCCAACGACACACACTGAAACACACACGGACAGAGGAACAGGATGACTGAATCAGTGTGTGACTGTGTGTGTGTGTGTGTGTGTGTGTGTGTGTGTGTGTGTGTGTGTATGTGTGTGCCTTTTGTGTCTGACTCCCTCTCCAACTCTTTGTGTGTGTGTGTGTGTGTGTGACTGACTTTATTTAAGACAAGGGCCCTTTTGTTTTAAGCCAGAGAATGGCTCTGAGGCCGAAGCTGGCCCTGTAATTGGCCTACTTAGGCCCTGCTTAGCATGAGAAAAGCCTTTACTTGGCCCGGCAGTGCCAAGCTAACTCTTGTTTTCGGAGGACGGACGCGACTGATCAGAATTCAGATTAGCCCCTGAAAAACATCCATCCATACCACCCCCATCCCCCCCTGCAAGTGCACTATCCCCCTTTGCTTTAAACACAGTGCTCGCTAATTACTTAACGAGAATGCTGGGAAAAAAGTCTACTCTTTAACGGAGTAGTGGTGGAGTCTATTTAAGGGAGGGGGGGTGGGGGTTGCAGGCTCTTTTTCACCTCTTCCCTTCTTGCTAAAAAAAGGGAAAAAATAGCCTCTCCATCCTTCACTGTGTCTTTTATTCTCGCGCTCTCTTCCCTTTTTTCGAATCAGCCCAGACGCCACTTGTTGCCGCCGAATCATTGAACTTAATTAACGGGCACAATGTGTGAGCGGTTTGCTAAGTTCGAGCCGTAAACAGAGTCACAGAGTTAGAGGAGGGAAGAGGCAGCAGGGAGGAGAAGTAAAGACTCTGAGCTGCGGAGGAGCCACCAAGTGAAGTGAACGTTCTCCACGCTGAGCGGCATGAGGCGGCTCCCACGGAGGTAAATACTGCCGGTTCATTTTGTCGCTTTCGGCGAGGTGTCGGAGGTAGGCTCGGTTCCTGGACGTGAGACGGCTTCTAAATCAAATCCAAGGGGAGGGGCTATTTATTTATGTATTTGTCTCTCTGATGTTGATCTATCTGTCTGTTTTTATGTTTTTTCTGCTTTTGACCCCGTAAAAAAAATTGTTAGTTGAATTTAAATTTTTATCATTGTCCATTTTAATGTTGTCATACTCACACAGAAAAGGAAATTTCAATTTGATTAAATTACTTTATTTTGACATTGGCAGATGTGGACTTCCATATATTTACACATGTAATGCTAATACCACCAATTTGCTTGATGTGTGATGGGTGGGAATGGTGGCAAAGATAAATATAACACTTACATTCATGGTATTGTATCATCAGAGACGGTTGTATGATTGCATAGGAGGCCCCGTGAGGGTTAAAAGCACTGTGTATTGACAATAATCTTCAACAAACTTGACATTCCGCAGCATTACTAACATTCCAACCGTGTTCAGCATCCCGACAAGTATTCCAGAACATTCTTCTGCCAGCATTCAATAATAACTGTCTTCCACTTAACCGACATACTTTGGCTCAACAACGAACATTCTGATCAGCATCATCCCAGTTATCCTCAACGCTCCGATTGGGACCAACATCCCAGTGATTCTGTTTGCTCTCAACATTCTGATTATGGTCGACATTTCCTTCCACATCCGCTAATCAACACATTCAAGCATTCTGGGTAATTGTTACAAATAATTCCAATATTCTCAATTGTCCTCAACATTCCAGCTTCCCTTCACTTTTCAGCTCAACATGCTGAAAGTTGAAAGAATCAGTACTCTCTAGTCCAGTCATTGTCAACATCACTTTTAAGCATCCTCTGCATTTCAAGTAACGTTCCAGCGATCAATACTGTATTTAATGTTTGGTATGTCAGACTTTCCACACGACTCTAAACCGACAACATTTCAAGCTGCCTCAAGATTACAAACTCCAGCATCCAGACTACAATGACTATTTTGGATAACTCCCCAAAAAATGTCTGCCTCAACATTCTAGTAAAGCAGCTGAACTCCAACACACTGAAAAATCTCCTTGGTTGCGCCGAGTCACATGATCGTTTTAAAGGATGTCAGGTCATCTCGTATTCCGTTATGACTGGCTTATCTTCAAATTTAGAAATATGTTTTCTTGCTTTGTTCTAATTCCTTTGTGAAAGAATGTTGTGTCCTTCCTGGTCTTTGAGTCACAAGGTCACGTGATTGACAATCTCTCTCTCTCTCTGTTTCTGTTTCTGTCTGGTTCGGTGTCTCTCGACCAGTCGGTACTGGGGGGTGAGATGGGTTTGGGGAGTCCCGGCGCAGCATCGCCCACCAAGCCGGCCGGTCAGTACTACCAGCACTACGGCTCCAACCCGCGGAGGAGAACGCTGCCTATGGACGCCATGGGTGAGACGCCGCCGACACACTCGCATGACACGGACCCCATGAACACACACGGAGAGACGCAGTGACGTCATTAAGCTGCTTTTACTCTGCTAAAACCACACCATCATCATTTCAATACTATTTTCAATGAAATCATTCCCTGTATTATCGCAAATCATATCGCAGTTGCAATATCGGTCAAAATAATCACAATTAGTTGTTTTTTTTCAAAATGTTTCAGCTCTAGTGTTGATTCAAATAAATGGTCAGTTGATAAATGGGCTGGACAAAATATTAGAAACATAATGCAGTTCAGTAGCGCCTTACAACTCAGCCTCCATAATTACAACAAAATGAACTGAATTAGGTTGAGCTACGTGGACCTATAAGCACCCGCATCGTAAAAACACATTCAAGACATTTGTTTTAGAAATCGCTGTCAACCCCATCAGCATGTCAAGCACCCCCACGCTGGGCCAAAGTGTGCTTCTTGGAACATACAGCTGGTAATGCGAGCTTGGTGTGTTTTCAAGTTATTTTATTCAATTTATAGTCAATATAAACAAAGTATGACATATTAACAAGTTCAACTTAAAATAAATAACAACACAAATCAAAAAAATTAACATTTTCTTAATAATACTACTAGTAATAAAAATAATAATAATAGTAACAATAATCATGCTATTAATAATAAAGTAAAATATATATATAACACAAAATAAAATGATGTAATAAATAAAATAAAATAAAATAAAAAATATAAAATAAATAATTTAAATTAAATTAAGTATTATTATTACTATTATTATACAAGTTATACTGATGATGATCTGCTTTCTTTTGTGTTTTTTCTAAAGATACTTACAGTTTTGATTCATACAAATTGCTAAAGCAATGTTAACTTCACTGGGAACAACATATATTATCTATTTATGGTTTTCTTTTTTTCTATTTGCATCATGAATGTCTAAATCTCTGGATGTTTTGCTGCGTAGTCGGAACACCAAATCTAAGACAAATGACATCCCAGATTATGAGCTACAGGAACACTGCCTGTGAAAATTCAGTTTTCTCTTCTATGCATCAACTTTACTGTAAATTCTTTAAATTCTCATTGTTTAGACTGAAGAATTAAAGCAGCGCATCATTACAGCCTAAACCTGCCGTCATTTGCTGAATCCAAACGGAAACTTTTTTTCCTGCGACCTTGGTGAAACCTTTTAACCTGGACTAATCCCAGTTCGTAACCGCTGTGTGTTTTCTTTTTTAGAAGGCCGAGCATTGTGAGTACGTGTCCGCGTGTGACCATCCTGTTGGTCCGTGTGTGTGTGTCTGTTTTGAAAAGGGACTTTAAGCAAAAAAAAAAAATACGGGGAAGTCTTTTAGAAAGCAGGACAATAGTGGCCGAGGTGTAGCCTTGGTAGCGCTAGCCTTGGAAGGACACACACACACACACACACACACACGCACGACTACGACACTGGGCCAATTTTAAAAAAAAAGGCACTCTTTCATTTTTCCGTCAAAGTCTCACCTTCCCAGTTAATAGACTGCTCCCTCGCTCCCCTTGAGAGAAACCCTGAAAAATAATATAAACATGTCAAAAGCTGCCCTGCTTCCTTTTATCGGACCGAAAAGAAAAAGAAAAAAAATCAACCCTGTCCTTTTTTGTATTCCGTCTTTTTTATTTGCTGCGACGTATTGTGTCGCGCTTGTTTGCAGTGACAGCTTTCTTTGTAAAATCTATCGACTGCGGTGGGAAAAGTGGCCTCGCTCTTTTTCCTCTCCGGGTGATCGATTATATCAAAACAAATAAAAAGAGAATCTCCTTTTTCAAAAGAGAGAGAATAAAAAGCCTCTCGGCCTGTTAAACCCTCATTAATTGTTTTGTTGCTTTTTTCTTTTCTCTTTCAGAGGTTCACCCAAAGAAAGTGCGGAAGGTCCCTCCCGGCTTGCCGTCCTCAGTAAGTGATAACATGATTGTTTTCCTTATTATTTCTGCGGAGTTATCGCTGCTTCGAGTGTGTGTGTCGGAAGAAGAAGGGCTGCTGATGCTCCAGCGTGTTTGGAATGAGCTGAGCTGGTTTTGTAGCAGACGTGGAAAGAGCTGCACACGTTGCCAGGTTCTGTGGGATTGTCAGGGTGAAGATGTCGGAGTCGAGCTGGACACAGACAGCTGTCGGCTTTTTCTCGTTGGTTCCTATTTTTGGGGGAGTCGACTGGACGAATTTCATGCTAGAATAAAAACAATTTAAAAAGACATCAATCGTTCTTAATGTAAAGAAATGTAGTTGTGTAGATGCTTCTTCTTTTCTTAATGTTTGACAGCACAAAGCCAATACTACTGACTAAAAAAGGAAGAGAATATAAACCATCTATACCAACACAGAATAACATTAGATTTCCCTTTTATTAATGCACCATTTGATTGGTTTGTCGGCGATTGTGTTGGATCTATCTGTGGCATTCTGGGCTGAAACTGTCAGCAGTCGATGGTGCTCGGCTGCCGGCTGGAGGTTGTTCTCTCTTTAGCGGGTTTGAAAGGACGGGAGTCCTGAGAAACGTGGAGTTGTAGGAGGAAGAAAAGCTGCACACGTTGCCAGGTTTTGTGAATTTGCGGAGGTGAAGCCGATGCTGCTGTCGGAGCCGGACGCAAACAGCTGTCAGCTTTTTGTTGTCGGTTCCTGTTTTTTAGGAATCAGCTGAAAGAGTTTCATGCCAGAAAAGATGCTAATGCCTACTAAATAACACTCTTCTCAATACAAACAAATGGGGTGATGTAACAAAAAACAACAACAAATCCAATCCTGCCTTTTTCACTTTATTTTTCCCCATTTAACATTTCTAAGCAGTATACAAATTTTGAAAATGGTTTATAAAACACTTGAAATGGTTGCATGCAGCTACCATTTCAAGTGTTTATTAATGGTCTATATATGACAACATTTATAACTTGTCCTATGAAGACATTTTGGTAACGCCCATAACGCTATATTGCTATAATAATCATACTTATAATGTGTTTTAATCCGCTTATAGCACTGTGTAATTACAGTTATAAGCACTTACCAGTAGTCATAACACATAAAGTATCATAATGCTTCATAATTGCTGGTCAGTCACTGGCATTTCTTTTGCAAGCATCATAGTTTATTATAATTCTTATAGTTTTAATACATCATAATATTTTTGCAACGCATTTTGATTACTAATATAATGCATTCAAATGTTATTTGAAGTGGTCGTTGTTTGCTTTAAGTCAATTGAAAATTAATTTACAACATTTCCTGTGTTCTTTCATAGATTAAAGCAAACGTAACGTATAATCACTTTATAATGCGTTATAACAAGATTATAACATAATACAGCTATGGGAATTATAACACACTACAATCCTTGAACAAAAAAAGTGTCAGTGAGTGACCAGCAATTATGATTCTTGACCTTATAAGTCATTATATGTTATGATTAATGTTATAAAGCATTATGAGTAAGTACGTGTGCTTGTAACTATATGTTTTTTTCATATACAGCAACCTCCACTTAAGGGTGCCCATAGTTATTGTTACTAACAAATGCATTAATAAACAGTGCGTACTACTATATGATAGTGTAATACACTATTATTACATGTTTCATATACTCCTTAGAAATGATTGAGGGACTTCAATTAAAGTGTTGCTGAAATTACTGTTTTTTGCAGAAAGAGCATGATGATCACTGTTATATCCTTTTGTTGATTTTATCAATAATTAATGAATGAGTTAATTCATTTATCAGGTTTCGGGATTTTGGGACATTTTGCATGAAAGTCTTAGCGGTCAATGTGCTGCTGGTTGGAGGACTTGAGGATTGAAGTGTAATCAGTTCAAGTCGCTGAAAAGATTTGTCAACTGACAGAAAATGAGCCAATCGTTGAAGTCCTTCGCCACACCGATCACCAAACATTCTCCTACATGAGCATTCACTGCTTTTCTCTGTTTTATATCATTGCAGATGGAATCTTTGTTTGGTCAAAGAAAACAAGAATATCTGAAGACACATGGGGCTTTGAGAACATGCCATTTTTATGCCATTTGATTGAATTATTCATTAGAACAATCAGTAGTTCCAGCCCAAAACAGATCTTCCATGAATCAAGCTATTCCCGTAAAGGGTGTTCTGTCCGTGGGCAGAATCCAACAGAAAATATGTGATGGGTAAACATCACTACATGATCCGTGTTCGTGGTTCCTCGTGAGTGCCGTGAGTTGACCCCAGCTGTTGTTCTGAGGCCTGGAGCTCGGCTGAAATAAGAAGGAGATGCAGCGGTAGAAGACATATTTCATTTTTTTAGGTTTAGTTTGTCATAACTTCACACTCAGAGTTAGACGCTTTTCTTTGTTTTTCACTTTTTTTGGGTGGAAATGGATTCTGTTTAGTTTATAAGTATAACCTTTAATTTGGTGGTTTTGCTGAAATTAGTTGATTGATCAATTACCTAATATATGTCTTGTTAATGAATTACAAATGTGGTAAAAAGGTGTTGCTGTTATTCTCTGTTTCATTTGACTATAAAGGGAATGTATATTTGGGTTGGCGAGTGTTAATGACACCAAGCAGCAGGCAGAGGATGACGGTATGTTCTTATAATGAAACTAATTATGAAAATAACCTGTATTTGCAGCCTCTAGTGCTCAATGGATCCATTTCTAATTTTAGCTTTGAGGTGTTTTTACATGTGGAGAGTTTTTTCTCTGCTGCTGACCTCATTAATCGCCAGTTAACGATGGCTGAATGTACGGCGTGTCGGCCGCCTCTTTGGCACGGCGGGAGGCCGCCTTTCTGTGGCCTCGGACCGCTTTGTCCCGCGTTTCCTCCTGTCCTTCCTCCTGTCCTTCCTCCCCTTCTCTGTGTCTACATCAGGCTGGGGATTGAGGAGGGGGGTGGAAAGGTGTTAAAAAGAGAAAAAGCAGTGAGGAAGCATGGTTTGTTTGACTGGTTGGTGTTGTTTTTCATCTTTTGTGTGCGTATAAAGCGGACGGATGAGACGTTTGCTGTGAAAAAGAGAGACATGATGTCCAGCAAAATGGACAGTTGCTTTACTTTTATGTGAATTTACCATTAGACTATACATTCCACAGTATATGAAATTAATTTATTACACTAAACATTTGTAATATTCTGTAATAATTGCTTTTATCTAATGGCTTGAGTTACTGCCTACTTTATCAATTACGATTTTAAATTTAACCTGAGATAAAAAAAAGTAAAAAATAAATGTTTATGCTTGATGCTACAGTAAAATTCTGTCCCTCTACACATGATCAGCACAACGTGATCTCACAGAAACATGGCATAGAATGTGTTAGAATTACATGCTGGCAGCACAGAAACATTGGAACTTTAGGTTCAGGCAACAAAACTACGTCTTTAGGTTCAACAATTTAACTTCAGGTTTAGGCAGCAAAACTACCTCATGATGTTGAACAATTTAACTTTTCTTTTAGACAACAAAACTACGTTCTGAGTTTTAACAATTTAACTTCAGGTTTAGGCAAAAAATGTTGGCTTTCCATTAATATTAACACAACAGGACCCAGACAGCGGGTCTCAGCTGGTTTCCTCCTCTCTTCCCTTTACAAGCCAGGCCACCTAGGCGTGATCGGATTCCAATGCGAGCAAGATCCGATCTCGAAGCGTACAGACTTGACAGTTAATACGTCCTGGCGTAATCGGATGACAAAAGATGCTTTGAAAAGACAACTGTAACCAAGCCTCACCAAAACCACCCTACTGACTTGTCCTAGTAGCCTTAGCATCACCACAGGTCGGACACAGGATGTGGGCCCCAGGGTCCTGAACTCCATATGTCTCGTAAACCCTTGACCGACTCCTGTGCTGTACAAGAACGCCGCACAACCGCCTAAGTGACGGTTGTCGAAGTCTTCTGTCTACAGTCACATGACCCAGCTTTTGGATCCCTGTCCTCTGCACTGCCTTCATGTCCGTGGTGCTCCGAGCCGTCTCCTCTCTCTGCTCGAACCCTCTCCGTTTCCACCTCTGTGATGCGAGTAACCCCGCCTGCTTCCTCCCGTTCACATCAAGAGAGCGGGAGCGAGGAGAGGACCTGCATGCCTGTGAAATGGAGAGGAGGTTTGACTGCAGGGAAATAAATTCAGAGGCCCTTTCTTCCCCCCTTGTTGGCACAGATATCAGTTGAGAGAGAGAGAGAGAGAGAGAGAGAGAGAGAGAGATGTACATATACCTCTTTTTTTTGTATATTTGTTCCATTTTTGTGTCGGATGTCTTTGAGTGGCTGGTTCTGTCGGGTCATGAGTCAGTTTTGGCTTGTTTGGAGCTGTGGCTTTTATTCTGAAAAATAGCATCCGATTGCTGACAGGTGTTCATTTTCATAATCACTTCTGTTTCGGGTTCAGTTCCAGTGTTTTTTTTAGCTCTGAACTTAATACAAACCAAAACACTGAAACACCTAAGCAACACACTCAGACATTATGTTACCATAGCATCTGTTCTCTATCTTTTCTTCTGTATGCAGTGATTGTTAATAGTGCAGATCTGCCAAAATGTAAAGATATATATCCTTCAAAAATGCGACGCTAACAGCCAGTGAACAGCAATATACATTAAGCATGATGGGATACATTGGGGCAAAAATACTAATCATATCCAACCCGAATATGAATTAGAAAAAAGAAAACTTAAGGAATGACAGTAAAAAATAGCTTATTTTGTTGAAAACTTTATTTGTATTTGACATAACTCAACCCTCTTGTCCCATAAATATGGATCTACTCTCCTTGGATCAATACGCCTGCCTCCACCTTTTCATTTATATACATACATTGCATCATATATACGGTGTGTTGACAACCTGTGGACATACATTTAAAAAATTCAAATTACATTGAACTGTAATTACCAGGTAACTTTGCTGGATTACAAGTAATACCTGGTAAGTGTG